ATATTCATTGTCTATGCATCCCAGGATCTCCAGAACAAAAATTAAAAAAAAAAAGATGGCCATGTACAGCAGCTCATGCTTGTAATCCCAGCACTTTGGGAGGCCAAGGTGGGTGGATCACCTGAGGTCAGGAGTTTGAGACCAGACTGACCAACATGGTGAAACCTCATCTCTACTAAATACAAAAAATTAGCCGAGCATAGTGGTGCATGCCTGTAGTCCCAGGTACTTGGGAGGCTGAGGCAGAAGAATTGCTTGAACCCAGGAGATGGAGGTTACAATGAGCTGAGATTGTCATTGCACTGTAGCCTGGGCAACGAGAGCTAAACTCTGTCTCAAAAATAAAAACAAAAAAATAAAAGATATTCACTGAACCTGTTGTTATAATATATTTAAGCAAGACACGGTGACCCTAAAAATTAGAGATCATTGAAGACCAAAGTAACAGCATGTGGTCATTATTTCACAACTTGAAGTATATGAGATAAATAAATAAATTTAATTGCATGCGTAGGCAAGAAAATATTGATAAAATGATTGAATATTTTATCTTATTTCATAATTCTAAACAGGGATTTAGCACAATATGAAAACTAGATTATTCATGTAATCAAAATAAAAGACTATTTTTATTCTAATTTTAACTAGGAAATTATGCTTATTTAACATTTTACTGAAAGATTAATGAATTAAAAAGGACAGATTATAATTACCTAACATTGCTATGGTAACTTACATACAAATACCTGTCACCAAAAGTCAAAAAAGCAACTAGCTTTACAACTTCAGATGGATCATACAACAGAAACTAGTACCAAGTTACCTTATCTCATAATATTGAGTGTTACTAAAATGAAATTTTAAAACAACACCAAAGTTTAAGTTGGGGTTATAAGTGTTGTGCAGAAAAGATTTCATATAGCAGGCAAGAGACTGCCATCCTTAGAAAGGCCTGCAGGCAAGGGTGGCCCTTGGCTGGTGTTTAGGAAATTGGAATTGGGAGGGTTTCCACCATTCCCTGAGAAGAGTGGCTCACTGTGTTTCAAGTGTTTATAGAAACAGTGTGGTTACTCTGAACAGCTGTTTTCCTTCTAGAAGTCTGGAATTTGGACACCTGTGAGGGAGAGTAACCTCCCTTGTAACTTGGGTACTTAAGTCTCTAATGAGACTCTGGTACTGACAGACATCTCTGCACATATGTTGTCAAAATGTGAGCCTGGGAGAATTAAGCAGATCCTGGGAACTCCACAGGAGAGAAGTCCTGGAGGCTTGTGCCTCGTTTCCTCCAGACTTGACCATATGCACACCTTTTTACTCTACTAATTTTACTTGTCCCCTTTCTTGTAATCAGTTAAAGATCTGAGTATGACTATTTGCGGAGTCCTGTGAGTCCTTCTAGTGAACCACCAAACCTGCGGGTGGTCTTGGGAAACCCTGACACATATGCATTGTATAAGATTTTTATTAAGTTGATATGATACGTGTAACTGTAATCAGATGGCTATTTCACAGAATAACTTTCCCTAATCTGTTTTTCTTTTTTTGCCTTGATATTTGACTTGGAGATTCTTGTATTTCTATATCTATCCAATTGAATAAAGCCATAAAAGGAATAAACGAAACAATAATGTCACAAAGTAATGTGAAATAAGCAGCAATCCTATTTTAAACAAATAAAAAATAGAGGATCTGGGTGATTGACAATATGTCCTATAATATGAATGTTTCTAGAAAAAAAACGAAAAGGTGGTCAATTTTCTGCAACTCAATTGGGCTTCATTCCTTTATATAAATAATTGTGCAGGCCATGTGCAGTGGCTCACGCTTGTAAATTCCAGCATTTTGGGAGGCTGAGGCAGGAGCATCACTTGAGCTCAGAAATTCCAGACCAGCCTGGGCAATATAGTGAGACCTCATCTATTAAACAAACAAACAAGCAAAAAACCCTTAAAAAGAAAATTAGCCAAGTGTGGTGGTGCATGCCTGTTTAGTCCCAGCTATGTGGGAGGCTAAGGTTAAACATGAAAGGCTTATTTAAGGCCAGGAAGCAGAAGTTGCAGTGAGCCAAGATGGCACCACTGCACTTCAGTACCAGCAACAGAGGGAGACCCTGTATCAAAAATAAATAAATAAATAATTGTGTATCAGGCCAGATGTAACTGCACAAGACTGTAGGTCCCAGGTACTCAGGAGGATGAGGTAGGAAGACTGCTTGAGCCCAGGAGTTCAAGGCTACAGTGAGCTGATTGTACTGCTGAATAGACACTGTATTCTAGCCTAGGCAACATAGAGAGACCCCATCTCTTATAATAATAATTGATTCATTGTGCATCATTCAAGCAAATTGTATAACTGGAGAAAAACATATGACTATTGAATATACTGTAATAGTCTACTACTGATCATAGAGTTCCTATTTACTGCTTCTAATCTTTTTCTTTGTTTCTTATACAACTAAAAACATGATTCACCCATTAAAGGCAGTTCATCACAAAACAAGTCAAAAACTCCAAAGAACTGCATCCAAACTATAGGATGTGTTATCCACTGCTCCCTGTAAACAGTTGGATTTGGTCACTAAGAATCAGCAAGACTTTTAACTTTGTGTGTGTGTATATGTGCATGTGTGTATGTGTATGTGTGTAAAGTATGACAGATAAAACCACTTTGCTTGTGTTAAGAATATGTAATATAACTTGTGCTTCTCAATAAGGAATTGCTTTTCTGTCTTCTGTGCTCAGTAGCTATCTTCAAAAAATAATCTCCTATTTGTATGGATGTATGCTGTTCAGTTTTACATTTCTTATTGCCATTTATTTATGGTACCAGAAAGGGATTGCTGAGTTCCCACAGTTACTTTCTTAGTGACACAAATCAATATGTAATACAGTTCACCCTTCAACAGCAAGGGTTTCAACTGCAGGGATTCACTTATATGCAGATTTTTCTTCTGCCTCTGCAACCCAGAGACAGCAAGATCCACCTCTCCTCCTCCTCCTCAGCCTAATCAACCTGATGATGATGAAGACCTTTGTCGGGATCTACTTATGCTTTATGAAAGGTCAATATGCTTTTCCTGATGATTTTCTTTCTAACAGTTTCATTTCTCCAGCTTCCTTTATTGTATGAACACAGTGTATAATAATGCAGCACAAACAAAACAAGTGTTCATCATCTGTTTATGTTATCAGGAAGCTTTCCAGACAGTGGTGGGATATTAGTAGCTAAGGTGAAGGAATCAAAAGTTATACTCAGATCTTCAACTGCACGGGGATCAGAGTCCCTCACCCCCACATTATTCATGGGTCATGGGTCAACTGTAATTCTTTATTTACTAAATATAAAAAAATTATTATACAAATGACATAGAAGATCCATTTGTATAACAAGTTCAATTTGTTATAATGTGACTATAGAGGAAACCTACAACATACTAACTTAAAAATCTTTTTTCTTACTTATGCAAAAATATTATATAGGATTGTAGGGATCATGATTAAATAAATGAATTTTTTCAGACTAATGTTTGAGATTATAAATTAGCTACAACTACCTTCTTAAATAAATCTGAATTTCAAACTAAAGTTAAATTTAAAAAATTAATTTACTTATGTAAATACACATATACACATGCAATTCATACATATTTTTAAACTGGCCTTTTTTGATTAACACTAACTACCTTAATCTTGTATCTTACTTTTTATTTTCTTATCAAGAGTAGGATCACTGAGAGAAATAAGAAATTTACTATCAGAAGTCTTACCTGGATTGCCATTTTTAAGTATCTTCTTTTTATGTTCCGAAATTTGTTGTTTAATTCTATGTATACAAAAGTAATAAATAAAATTGCTATTTTAATGCTGAAATAAAAAATATTTACCAAACATATTAAATTCTAAAACAATTTCAGGCAATATCAGACCTAATATCAGAATTTTAATGTCCCATATATTTCAAATTTTTTAACCTTATAAGCTGATTAAGCTTATAATTAAAGAAGAAAAAAAGTGAAGTACTCATAAATGGAGGAAGCACAGCTCAGTAAATTAACTCTAGTTAGCAGGACCTCATGCAAAGTGTCCTGCACTCAGAATAAGTCCTTGCTCTGTAACCAATAGGTATTTTGTTTACAGACAAGTTGCTTCTCGTAGGCTCCATGGTTTCTTCTAAAAAACAAGGATTTTGCTACCTTACCTCACTAGGTCATTAGGAAGATGTAATGAGATTACATGTTTAAATGTTCAGAGAAATAGTAAAGCAATGGAATAATTTATTCTTGAAGTTTATTGCTGAAACCATTTTGGAATCCCAAATAAAGCTCGGTGTGTGTTTTTCTGTAAGTTCTAATATTCAAATGTTGCAGTTTTCAGAAAATGTTATTAAGTGCTAATTTTGGTTATTAGTTGGATTCATTGTGGCTTGTAATTCAGGGCATTTTACCTAATTAATAACTTATTACTAATATATATATACACACACACATGTATACATATATATACACATATATATACACACACATATATACACACACACATATATATATACGATCTCATTAAAATAGATTATCTAATTGTCTCCTATCACTGAGCTCATCAATCACACCAAGGGCAGAAAACTAATAGGTATCAAAACCTGGCTTGGACAACTACCACTCCCCTTCTCTACCTCCTCAAACTCTGAGCCAGCAGATCTGTGCTAGGATGCTGGATCTCCATGGTCCTCTCCAACTAACAGACAAGACAAAATCCTGCTTTGATTGTTTTTCAGATCCATGAAGGAAACGTAAGCTGATATTTTCTCATTCCCAAGACATGTACTAACAACATGTAACATCCCCTTACTACTCAGTTCTGTTCTCATTTCAGAGATCACTGTACATCAATAGTTTCATACTGATAATCACAATTTCAATATTGGGTATCTCCTGTTTTGATTTCACTCACACTACTTCCTTGGAGCTACTCAGCAAACAGTCAAACGAACTTCCTGGGGCTATGCAAAATATGGAATGCTTTCTCAATTTGTGTGCCAATCCCCAGGCAGCAGCCATGCTTATCTGCTCTGTATTGATCTAATTTTAAAATATGTACTGCGGAAACAAGTACAAGGTCCTGTTTGATATATAGATACTCATGAGTCATGGATGAGGCTTAGCTCTATTAACTCCAACTCACTTACTTTAGATTCAGAGAATTTTATTGAATGGCTTCCTGTGAGGCAGAATTTTAAAATATATTTAAAACTTGAGAAAGAGTTGCGATTAGCCTAGGAGATTTTCATTATTATAAAGACACGTTACTTGAGGGGCCAACTGCAAGTTGGTTCCCACTACTCGCTGGAAAGGTAACATAGAACCTTCCACTATCTAACCTAAGCTGCTGCACAGGATATAAAAAAGCCTCAAGGTACCGATCTGATAGCAAAAGGGAAAGGGAGCTCTGATCTTTTCCTGCAACATTATTTGAACATCCCTGACTGTTGAGAACAAGTTCAACTAATATTGGTTAAAGAAAAGACAAACATGGCTCTCAAAGGATAACATACCATGAAGGCCTAGGCTAAGTCTAGCTAAGAGGTGGGCTCCAAATAAGGTTTTTAGTGTAGGGCAAGCATCAGCTTGCTCAATGTTTGTGTGGGTAAAGCTAGGAGGCCTAGCTGCCAGAGCAGGGTGCTGGGGACAATGATTGAGCATAAATACATAAACTAATAAACACTGTAGCTTTCAACTCTATGTATGAATCACCACGAAAACTGAGGGGTCTGAATCAGTGACAGTATCCTGGTGGCAAAGGTCAATCATTATCAGATTGTAGGACCAGTTACAATGGCAACAATACAGCAAAAGTGAGTCCGATCATTCTGGAGACAACAGAATGATTAGAATGGCCTTTTTCCCCTTCTTCTGACTTGTGAAGAAAGATTGCCTTCCTCAGACTTAAGAAAGCCCTTAGCTTCTTGGAAAATTCAAAGAAGGAAGACACAGGGGATAGCCCCAGGGGACAATACAAGATTTTCTGCTCAACTGGACATTTCAAGATCCAACAACTAATTAGAAAAGTCAGGCCAGGCATGGTGGCTAGCACTTTGAGAGGCCGAGGCAGGAGGATTACTTGAGCTCAGAAGGAGTTCAAGAGCAGCCAGGGCAACAGAGCAAGACCTTGTGTCTATTAAAAAAAAAAGCAAAAGAAAAGAGGTCAAAGGTGTGGCTCCTTTTATCCCATGCATGGGGATTATACTTAGAATAAAATGAACAACATTGAGATCCCTAAGGACAAAGGTCTTACAAATCCTGAAAAAAATCTTGCCCTCTACTTCTAACTAATCTAGACTTCTGCTTGATTTCTGGCTAAAAGGTAAAACTCATTGCTATTTCAAACTACCAGAACCAAACTATGAACTCTCACCTAATGTATAAGATGGAATAATTGCAATTGTTTTAAACTTCCATTTAGTACTAACTGGTCTTTTAACATAAACACTTTACTTTGTCAACCCACGAGAAAGAACATAACCTTCTGCCTCTCGTCCACACGTGTCTTGAGTGAAGACATTAATATTTTGCTTAAGAAGGATGTTGACAATACCTGGTAAGTTATACTGCACAGCAAACATGAGGGTTGTTCTAAAATAACAAAGAAGTAACTCCACTCAAGAACTTTAATAACGACTTTTTTAAACAGCTAGTTGGATACACTTTACTATTTTAATATCTGCCTGTCAGTGTAGACATAATAACCATTTGTATGTACTAGCTTGGGTCTATAAGCAACTAGGGTGCTCAAGTGTTCATCTTTGTAAATTATCACCAAGGCTAAAAGGAAGGGACAACAAAGAATCCTCTTGTCCCACAGGGGTATGACATAATACAACTTGCTAACTTATAGTTCTCTGGTGGCCAAGAAACTGCTAGGGTCACTTATCTAAAGTAGGCAAAGATTTAGATGAAGATTTCCCCATTGCTTTCCTAGTCTGATATATTATAATTCAAATCAGCTAGGGGTCAGATAAGAGTTATCTGCAGGTGGAAAACAACAACAACAACAAAAACAATAATAATGACAATATTAGTAGTCATAAACTAAAAGTCCACACTTTAAAAATTAATAAAACTGGCCAAGTGCAGTGGCTTATGCCTGTAATCCCAGCATCTTGGGAAGCCAAGGAGAGCAGATCACGAAGTGAAGAGATTGAGACCATCCTGGCCAACATGGTGAAATCCCATCTCTACTAAAAACATAAAAATTAGCTGGTCGTGGTGGTGTGCACCTGCAGTCCCAGCTATTTGGAAGGCTGAGGCAGGAGAATCACTTGAACCTGGGAGGTGGAGGTTGCAGTGAGCCAAGATCACATCACTGCACTCCAGCCTGGCAACAGAGCGAGACTCCATCTCAAAAAAAAGAAAAAAAAATTTAAAAAACCAATACACAACCCTTTAGCTAATAAAAGATTACACTAGCAAAAACATCACATTATAAATAACAAACATTCTATATTATAAGAAAAGATGAATTCTACTATATACTGTTCTTTATGTTACTCAGTTCAAATATTTGCTGGTCTGATTCTTCATGGTGATATTTTTCACTATATGACGACAATTACATTAATCTTATTAATATTTCTGACTTGACTGTTACCACTCTAGAATACACAGTTTAAAAAAAAAAAAAAAAAAAAAAGATCTACTGTACCATCTCAGCTTATCAATGGCATGTACATTTGCTTTGTTTTTCAATAAAAAATCCACCATTTTCTCTTTCTTGCAAATTACAACAAATAAAAGTGGGGTATTATTGTCCTATAAAACAGCAGAAAAAATTAATAATTCACAAAATTACGTATTCCTCAACTGAATTGAAAATCTTATCTAAGGTGCTTTGAACTTCAACATGCAGTATAGAAAGCAAGTAAATGAAAAGCAGTCCCTTCCTTCTCACTCCTCTGCGCTTTCTGATGTGCTGCTCGTTGCCTTGCTAACAACCCTCCTCTGTCTCCCGGGATTAACTGTGGTCATTACCAAAACTCACTTTAAACATTTACCAGTCCCAAGAACCCTTGCTTTGATCACAGCACTTAGCATGGTACATTGTAATCATTTCATTGTTTCCCACTGAAACCAAGAGCTTCTTGAGGGCAAGGGCTGTATCTTTTGTTTCTATAGCCCCAAAACCCTAAGACATAGTAGCAAATATTTTGGTTTTTTTAAATAAATTAATTATCTAAATTATTCTCTCTAAAGCAGTGCTTCTTAAACTACATTCCAAAGAATATTTGCTTTACCAGAAGTATACCCCAAGAGAAAGACTCCATGACCATCTGCATTTGAGAAATATTACGAAACTGTATTTTATGTCTAATAATCAAGAAATATCTTGAATTTTACCTAATCCCCATTTGATAATACTATTTGTGGCAAACATTAACATTTGAGAAATTAAGAGTTTCAGAGAAACAGTTGCCAGAGCTTCCCAATACAGGTGGAGGTTTCCTCTGGGTGGTACAAACTTGCTTGATTCACTTCTATCAGTGGTGTCAGGATCCCAGATGCCAATGTCAGGCACTCCTGCTCCAAATGGTCACTATCAAAATGAGCTCTGAATTAACAGAGACTGGCTTCAAATGCACTTATTTTCCTTATTATTAAAAAGTCCGTAGATTTTTTTTTCCTAATACGAGAGAATAGATTTTTATCTTTACTGTTAGAAAGCTCAGTATGTTCTGTGTAAGAGAGATAGGTTTAAAAAACTTAAAAACAAATACTTAAAAGACCAAAGCTCAGTAAGAAATACCATTCTCAATTACAATGGTAATCCCGGCACCCTAATGCAGCTCTACTTTTTAAATCCATTTTTATTGGCTTCCACTTAAATGGCTATTTAAAATTATTTATTATTTTAGGGAAAATATAAATCAGAAATAAAAACATAAGTGCTTGTCAATAAAAGTTCTCATACTGATCCATATGGATTATTTCTAGCATAATAAAAGCCAGTAAGTCACTTGCATTTTTAAGGAAGAGTGCTGAGGAGAAAGATGTAATGTCTGCAATATTCATAAATTATCCAACTATAAGCAGGAATAACCTAATAAGGCTTCTAGGCATTGTTATGGGAAGATGACTATTTGTGGTATATATAAAGAAAAGAGTTTTAAAAACTTCTAACTTCTAAAATTCAACTCCATAACTGGGGGATTTATATACTCTATAGACTACATATTATAAACAAGCACATGCTGACTTAAAAACCTTGAAGTCTTTATCAAAATATATTACAACATAAGAGTTGTAAACTCAAATACTTACAATGACAAATGAAGGTCACACCTGAGTAAGGGAAGTACTGAGGTGGGCACAGTAGCAAACTGGAGAATACACGCCTTCTACAAAGGGGCAACCTCTGCACAGCAGACCAAACAGTGATAAAAACTCAGGGGACACCAGATTTGACTTTTTAGGATAAGCCTGAAGTCCAGATTTCTACACAAGTCTTCTAAATTTTACAAGTTGATTCAACTTATAGAGGCAACCAAATCTGTGTACCACATTAGAATATAGCCCTACTGTTTTTATATTTGCTATAAATGTATTACTAAATGGTTGTATATAATCCAAGTATTTGCATGTAAAATATTTTCTTTCTCTAGTTTCATATGTTTTACCAAAAATTCAGGCTCTCGTATATAATAAAAATGGTTTAAAAGACTCATAATACTTGCTTCAAGAATTTTTCCAACATTTATTCATTTAAAATATATTGGTATATAATTTTCCCAGATTGTTACGCAAATAGATCATTGGTTCACAGGACTGCTAGAACTAAATTATTGTAAGAATTCCTATCTGTATTCTTATTAACTTCATGGATTTCAGCGTTTAAAACTGACATTTTGGTTATGCTAAAGCTCTATCAACTTAACAAACACACTGAGATCGTTCATAATACAACTTCAACCAAAAAGAAATAGTTTAGGATTTGCTACTATTCTAACTGAGAAAGCCCAACTTGTAATGAACATTTGTTGACACATAATCACCTGCATGGTGACAAAGGGACATCAAATCCTGAAAGGGTCAGCCTCTACCTATTGAAAGATTACCCATAAGTAAATTTCTAAAGACTCTCTGAACGGTAGTGAATGATTAATGGCAGGAAGGAAAAGGTGTTATTCTGTAAGCTGAGAGATACTGCCAATAATATTTCCCTTTCACATCCCAGTCACAGATGTAGAGAAAGACAGGTAAGTCTTGAAAAGGAGAATGAAAAGGAAAACTTTGCAGGAAGTAGCACCTATCAAACACAAACTCTTCTAAGAGATTTCTTACATTTTTGAGATACAGAAATTTATATATTGCACCTATCTATTCCGGAGTTCTTAATCAGGTGTGTATACAAACCCTTGATGGGTTTTTTTTTTTTTTTTTTTTTTTTTTTGGCTGTTGCTGTTAGAGACAAGAGTCTCACTATGTTGCTCAAGCTGGACTCAAATGCTTAGGCTCAAGCAGGGACTACAGGAACATACCACTGTGCCCAGCTTTGAGAAGATGTTTTTAAACAGGTTCAGGCCTTATTAGGTCTATTATATCAAAATCCTCAGGGGAAAGCCTACAATTGTAGATTTTTAACAAAATGTCCTCAGGTCACTGTAACGCGTAATTCTGAGAATTAGTGCAGCAATCACTTCAGTCTCATCTCTCACTTGCATGGCTAATTCCCTTTACCAGTTGGACATGTGGCCAAAAAGAGAAAAGAGTAAGAGATGGTGTCATTTATTAAAGCTCCTGGGTATGGGTAGAACAGGGACAAGTAAACTCAAATTCCCACTTGATTTTGCTATTTATAAGCTCTTTATCTCCTATCTTCCCACCAAGACATGCTAGATTTGAGGAGAGTCTTTAGACTCTTACCTAAGTGGCTGTTTCTGCCAGGATGGGCAATAAGTCAGTTAATAATTTGTTCCACCTTCTGCTGAAGTTTTTCTCACTTTGTCAACACATTCACTGCCAATCTGGTTTCCTCAGAATCCTCCTAAAATTAATCTCCAGGCAAGTTTCAACTCACTGTCATTTTCAAGCCAAAAATTATTAGACCCAAAACTAAAGAGCACCTTGTCTCAACACATAAACTAGAAGAACTTTAAAAAAAAAAAAAAAAAACTTCCTGTAATTTTCCCTCCTTATCTAACTTCCAAGTGACCTGCATATTTGATTGCTCTCCTTTTCCCTTCCTATGTTTCCCTCTTAAGCCTTGTGCCACTGAGAAATGATACATCAGTTTTTCAGAAAATTATCAGCAGCAACAACACGTCCGTTTACTGTAAGTTGCTTTAGTTTTGTTTGAGTTTTAAGATAAAGCCTATTTCCAGGGCATATTTTCTTTCCTGTGTTGTTTTACACTAATTAGGAAAAAAAAAGAAAAGAATAACCCTGTGTAAAAAAAAGTTGAAAAGATTTTACCTTTAACAAATTCACAAATATTTTCCAAAGTGCATTTTATAAAGCTGTGCCCTTTAATGCTTCCTTAAAAGGATCAATATTTAAAATAAAATCTTAGACAATTAATTATTTCAAAATAACTTAATTTGCATTTGCTTTCAGGGAATGGTTGAGCTTCCAAATATAAAAAATTGACCCTTACCTATGTCAATGTTAAAAACAAATATTTTGGAAAGAAAGTTGATTGAACTGTACCTTGTCTGGTGCTTCAATATTTGCACCATGTGAAAGCAGTTTTTCTGCCAGTGAGGTGCTCTCACTACACACAGCATAATGGAAAGCAGTGTTGCCTTAGATATCCTTAAGGTCTGGATTGGCGCCATGTTCCAGCAGAAAAACGGCACACGCCTCTTCCTGGCAACGGACTGCCTGTTCATATTAGACCAAGAAACAGATTGTAAATTCTAAGAATTCAAAATACACATTTCACAGGTTTCACCAACTAGTTATATTTAAATGAGATCCATTTATTTTAATTCTACATGTGTAAATCAAATCCATGTCATGCTGAAAGAGTTGGCGCTAATATACCTGTATCAAAGGTGTTCCGTTTTCTTTGTCGCAGATATCAATCTGGCATTTTCTGTTAACCAGGAGAGTGACCACTGTCACATGGCCACTGGCACAGGCCAAATGTAGAGCAGTTCTACAAGAGTAAGAGGACTTTTTAGGAAACTGTAGTGCATCATCTCAAAATCTACCATCATTCATGTCATTGTAAAAATTGAATAGCATGTTTTTCCTCTGCTTTCAAAACAAATGATATTTTTTTGAAGAAAGTACAACACTTACTAGCTCTTATTGCTCACTGCCTTAATGAAAACAGCAGCCTATTTGAGTAGAAAGAGCTCAGGCTTTGGATTCAGTTCGACTAGGGCTTGAGTCCTACTTTAAACCCTGTCACTTACTAACTATTGCTTAGCCTTTCTGTGCCTCAGCTTCCTCATTCATAAAGATTGCAATAGTAGCCATCTCATAGGACACCATCTTGAAGCCTAAATGAGAATCTATGTAAAGTATTTAGAATAGTTCCTACAATAGCTTAATAATTGAAACATTTTTGTTTATTGAGACAAAGTCTCACTCTTTTACCCAGGCTGGAGTGCAATGATGTAACTATACCTCACCGTAACCTGGAACGCTTGGGCTCAAGTGATCCTCCATCCCCAGCCTCCTGAGTAGCTGGGACTACAGATATGCACCAGCATGCCCAGCTATTTAAAAAATTTTGTAGAGTCAGAATCTCACTTTGTTGCCTAGGTTGGTCTCAAACTCCTGGCATCAAACAATCCTCTCACCTCAGCCTCCCAAAGTTCTGGGATTACAGGTGTGAGTCACTGCACCCAGCCAGATATTATTACTATTACTACTACTTAACAAAAACATTTTAATTAGGTAAAATGATACAATTATACCTACTTTGCAGGATGGTTTAAAGAGTAGGTGACATTTTAACACCTCTGACATGGGAATGCCACTTACAACCCATGATTTATTATAAATAAAATTGGTAGCATTTTTAAAATTATCTTATTGATACATAAAATAATGGGGCATCACACAATCCATGAGAGCTTACATTAACTAGAATATGGTAACTCAGGTCTAGGGCAGTTCCAGGCATGTAACTGAAACTTAAATACATTTTAGTTCTTAAAGGGACTATGGGAAAAGAGCACTGAAATAATCATGCATTTTTTTAAACAAATTATTTGATTTTCAAACAACTTGAAGCCAAAGGAAACTCATGATTCAAATGAATACACGTATGGCTCATTTTATTCAATACTTACACTTACAGAATATATGCAAATAAGACTTTCTGATGATTAATATTAGTATTTTAGACTGATAAACTTTTGAAAGGGCAGTTAAAGGTTATCTTCTACTATTTTCTAACTTCAGAAATGCTTTTGTTTGAAAGGTGGGAGATAAAGTTTCAAGGAGATTCAGTCCCAATATTCCTATTGTAAATCTCTCAGCTTGCGCAGGCAGGGCAGGTAAACATGAAGTTTTTAAGGATAGAAAGGTCCTGAAAGATAATAGAATATGTCTGCTACATAACAGGTATTCAGGTTATGTTTCACGAATAAATCAAATGAAAGAATGGATAAATACAGTTGGGGAGTTCAGTATTTTTAAATAAACTCCTATAAAGTAACAATTTTGCAACAATAACTATTTATATGTATTTTTATTCTTAAAGAATACAATTAAAATGAAACGATTACTCTATCATTGTTTGCATAAATGGAATGAATGTATAAGAAAAATGTATATAATAAAATATATAGATAAAATCTGGAAACAGATAAAAACATTCCCATTTTACTTCTGAAAAGGCTAAAAGTTCAAAGAACAATACACACAATAATGATAAAAAATAGAAAGTGAGAAATTATTTTTATCAGTGCAAGATTCATATTCCTCTCTTCCCAAGGATTATTCCATTAATAATAAACTTTTACTACAATTTTGTACATGCTCACTGCAGCAATCACAGATAAGAAAAAGGAAAAAAACTTTACTTAAAATACAAATGCTCAGAAATTACAAATTTTTATTTTGTACATTTTTTTTTGCTAAAACAAGACCATAGTATGTTTGTGAAGATGTATAATTTAACTGATTTTTTCCTCACTAGCTATAAAAATATACATCTTCACACATCAACGTACTTCTGTATCTATTGCCACCTTCAATGGTCACATATTTCATCCAATGGATGCAACTGAAATTTATTTATAGGATCCATTCTATGGGTCTTTTTAAAATAAGTGCTGTGAAAAATAAAGTGCATGTATCTTTATTTCCTAAAGGTATTTTAGTGTAATGGAATTGATGGGTAAAAGGCATACACATTTTTTAAATGTACTTACCACCAAATTATCTATTTGAAAAGTAATCAGCAACTTAAACTTTAAGCAGGAGTATAAAACAGCCTAACAAATATTGTGGATAAAAAACTGTTTCATTCCTCTTTTATTTCAATTCTTATACCAAAAATGCAAAGGACTTTTTCCTACGTGCATAAGTAACTTGTAGATCTGGAGAAACGTACTTTGCCCAATTTTAGAGTTTTTAATGATTTGATTTGAAATAATTCCCTGTAAAATGAAAATGTACTTTTCATCTATATATATATAACTTTTCATCTAATGTGTATATATAACTTACATATATAACAGCTATAATACATATGATATAAATATCAGTAATATATATCATATAATATATAATAATATAGGCCATGCACGGTGGCTCATGCCTGTAATCGCAGCACGTTGGGAGGCCAAGGTGGGCAGATCACTTGAGGTCAGGAGTTTGAGACCAGCCTGGTCAACATGGTGAAACGTCCTCTCTACTGAAAATGCAAAAATTAGCCAGGCATACTGGCACCTGCCTGTAATCCCAGCTACTTGGGAGGCTGAGGGAGGAGAATTGCTTGAACCCAGGAGACAGAGGTTGCAGTGAACCAAGACTGTGCCATTGGACACCAGCCTGGGCAAAGAAGCGAGACTCTGACTCAAAAAAAATTTTTAAAAAGGGATATAATGAATTCCCTATAAAATGAAAACATACTTTTCATCTGAATATATATATATAATAAAGTCAATATTTTTCACATAAGCTCTCTTTCATTTCGTTAATTTATCTTCCGAAACACAGGCAGTTTTAATTTTTAGTTTGCTAAATCAATCTTCAGAATGTCTGCTTAAGAGGTCATTCTCAGGAAGGCCTTTGTCAACATAAAATGTTCCTGTAAAATAAGCATTTGTGTTTTCTGGTACTTTACTAATTTGCATATGTAAAAAATTCAATCTGCATTCCATCAGGAACTCATGCTTGTGACATAAAATTTCATTAGTTTTCTTCAAACAGCAGGCATTTTTTTATTAATAATTCATCCTTTCCTAACTCATCAATCCTTCTATCTTACATAATTTCAGTGTTTCTGGGTTTCCTACTCTGTTCCATGCGTTTGTCTTTTCAGCTGTCAGTAAACGATTTATTGTCGAAATTATAGCACATTTTGCTACCTAGAGAAGTGTTTTTTCACTCCATTATGAGATTTTTTTAAAATGTCCTCACAATAGTGAAAGACAGCAGGTGTCATACAAAAATATTAAAACCTTGATATTTTCATTGGGTCTATGTAAAATTGATAAACACAGAAAGGGCTCACATTTTGAGAAAAATGAGCCTTCCCATTCAAGAACACAGAACCCACCTCCCACTTCCAAGTTTCTCTCTAAGAAACTTCAGTAAAGAACCTACCTACACAGGTGGATACGGCTGTTAAACGGTCAGTTTTATCTGAGAACTTTTCACCTACTGAAAATAACTCACGGTATTTTTGATAGGGGAATGAGTTTTCTCATTAGGCACCACCTATAATGTACATAAACCATGTTTTAAAGGAGTTCGTTAAAAATAACACCATATATGCTTAACTTTGTGAGTTAAATCACTCAAATTCTCCACCTACTCCAGCCAGGGAATTATGAGGGATGGAAAACAGCTGAGGGCCTGCTTGGCTCCACCACTGGGAGGGTGCCCGGCGCCCTCCAACGCCCAGTCCCAGGGGCTGCGGGGAAGCCGGGCCTGGGGCCCCCCTCCCACCCCGGGCTGAGCCCCTGCTACTTGTGCTGCTTGTCCAGGGCGTCCAGGTCTCCGCTCCTGCCCGCCAGGCAGCGCTTCACCTCCGCCGCCTCCCCCTTGACAGCCGCCCTGTGGATCTTCTGCAGTTCGGCCTCCCAGATTCGGTACCCTCAACCCATGTAGTCGTGGTCTATGGAGCCCAGGACCGTCTGGCGCCTGCGGCTCCCGAAGCCGAACAACTTCATGGTGGTGACTTCTCAGACCCCCAACCACCGGCTCTCGAGCGGGGGCAGCTTCCTGTCACCTTTTCACCACGCCCCCCTGCCCCCACCGACCCAGCCCCAAATCCCCTATCCAACCCCAAGTCCCGATCCAACCCCAAATCCGCGATCCAACCCCCAGTCCGCGATCACAAATCTATGATATACTCCAAAATCCGCGATCCAGCCCGGTCCACCACAGCCTTCAGCAGCGACACTCGCAGCCTCCGACCTCTCAGACCCAGTGAGCTTCCCAAAGCCGTTGGGCGCGCGCCTGCACCGCGGTGGCCGCTGGCTCCCGGAAGTCGCTCACAGGTGGCGCGCGCGAGCAGGTGGGGCTGCAGCTCTCGGCGGGCGCCACTAGGCTCGAGGATTCTCCTGGGGCTCGCCTGGGCTGCCCCAGGATCGTAGGCGTGCAGCCAGCCCGGCCTGAGGAGGAGGAACTGTCTGGCCTTGCAGCCCGCCCGGCTTCTCCTCGGAAGGCAGATACGGTGCTGGCAAGGGTACTCCCGGCCACCGGAGTGGCTTCGCGGATAGCCTGGCTTCATGTTGAGGCTCTGGCCCTGGAGTCTGTGTGGCTAGTGTCGGGTAGTGGGAAAGGCATGGAGAGTCAGGAGCTGCTCCTTCCCCCACCCGCCCTCGCCGCTGCCAATGCCCCACGAATGGTTTGCAGCTGCAGATCTGGCATTGGCACGGGATGGCAGAGCTTCCACTAGATGGCGTCAGGGTCGCCGAGTGCACAGCTTACCTGGCCAGGAGGTGAGCTCCTCTTGGACGTCTCTCCGGATCCTGGGCCCTGGCGCTGGGCACTCTGTATCCACACCGATGAAACAGCAACCGCTGGTGGGGCCGATGGCCTGACTTTGCCGCCTGGGTGTCTGGCCTCAGGAATCACGCTACTGGGGGGCGGGCCTGGTCTGGAGTGTCCAGTCACTTGCTGCTGGTGCACCACGTCTAGGCTGCAGGTGCGGCTCGGAGGCCAGTTGGGGCTGGCAGGCCTTGTACCTGATGTTCTCAGGGTCATGTTCATCGCAGGTGTGCTCTGACTTGGCCTCCTCCAAGAACGCAGGGGCTGCGGAGGCGGGCTCTTCGTGGTAACTGGGATGGTATTAACCAACAGGTTCCCACCCTGGTGCCGCTGCTGTGCGGACTGCCTGACTTGGGCGCCCAGGCACTGGCCCAGGGTGCGTGGCAGGTGTGCGGGTAGGGTGGGTGGTGCAGAAGGTCAGGGGTTGCTCCCTCATCTCTGCTTGTGTGCAACTTGCAGTTCTGCAGTTTTCTGCAACAGCTGAGGCACTGGCGCGGGAAAGCGGAACTCCCCTGGATGGTGTCAAGGTTGCGGACACAGAGCACAGCCCAGCAGGCTTGAGGGTC